TGAGTGCTGTTGGGGATATTGGCCTTCTTTGACATTGTTGCGTCGATAGTCTTCGATTATCCTCACGCCATCTGCGAAAGTCTCTCCTTTCGGAATGGCCGCTCGTCGAACGAAGTCTCTCCCATCTTCGGTGCCTCCTCTGGGCTTAACTCCCGTATAAACCCTCGCTGGATTTTGTCTCCTATGAGCGCCTCTACCGGGTCAAAGACTTCGGGGAGATCCATCGACCCATAGTTGCGATGCTCCTTTAAGATGGGGTAGAGGTCGTATTCGCGTGGTTCGTAACGTGGATAGAGCGGACAGAAAGGAATATCTTTGCTGAGGCCTATTGGGACTCCGTCAGATGCCGTTTTCTCGAATTCCCTGTCCGGACACCCCAAAGCGCGGATCATGGCGCCGAGCAGGGCCGTATGGATTTGGTTGCCTCCGCTTTTCGCTGGGATTGGCACGTTGAGAGCGGACGATATTTTCTCTCGTGAGCTCCGTGTTGCTTCCGCGCTAGCAGTCTCTAGCTGGGAGATTTGCTCTGTTGTTGGGATACCCTGAACTTGTTGGAATACTTCCACGAAGCCACTGCTGCGCGCCTCCTCCCAGATGATGTTCCCTATCAGCTTGCCAAAGTAGCGTTGCTCTTCAGTAAGAGGTGCTTCGGTTTCAACCGTATCGTTGAACCCTCCATCTTTGACACCTTGATCCCCTTCCTTGGTGGATCCCATTAGCTGTTCCGCCATTCGCCGACAGTATATGACATGGTCCTCGAAGGCTGTGGTGTCGACATGTTCTTGACCCACTTGTGTACTAGTAGGAGTGATCTTCGGCGTGGGTGTCGGGCTCTGCTGGAGTGGTTCTTCGCGGGCTTGCGAGTCTGACAGAGAGGCACGTTTTTTTTGCGTTTTTTTAGGCACGCAAATTCAAAGAATCTGCGTTTCTCCGACAAACTTTCTCGTTAACGGATGAGAGTTTTAGCTTTAACTCTGTGCTCAAGCCTTCAGAAGGCTGCAATCTACTGGACGTACAGTATATACGGAGGCCGCTGAGCTGAATCAGCTGATTGCCAACGGCTGCCTGGCAGCCGCTGGCTATCAGTGGTCGGGTTCATCAACTCGAAGTCGGTGGACCCCATCAACTGTGTCAGAGAGACATCCGAGGATATAACCCCTTGAACCATTAGCCGCCCTTTACGTTTGTCACAGCCTGGTTGTGCGATTGGTTATGCTGATCGTCCGGTGATGATTTTGTGTGATAATGCAGCAGCTGTCAACAAGATCTCTCTCGACTCGGCAGTGCCCATTCAACCGGGATGAATGGTCTCCGGTATAACTCACCACCGCTTGGGATCACAGCAATGCCATTGATGCAATGGTGTCCGAGCTTATCAGTTGAATAACAATGAGGCCTAAGGCCT